ATGTTCTATATAGATTCATATACATATATATATAACTATGAGGTTGATACTCATTCTTTATAGTAAGTCTGCAATATACTGATCAAAAAAGAGCTGTTACATACTTGAGAAAACTTATATATGTTTTTATGTAATCACAACAGCACTTGACACATTTTTTTTCAAATAGTATTATTGTATGTTGTTATGAGTCAGAATTGACTCATAGTTGACCCTCCAGTTGGTTTTCAGAGGCTGTAAATTACAAGAAAGGAGACTGCTTATCTTTCCCCTATGGAGCAACTGGTGGACTTGAACCACATGCCTTTGGGTTGGCAGCTCAATTCATAGGCCCCCAGAACGCCTTTCTCTTGGAAGTTCTACAGGGCTGTTCTATTCTGTTCTATAATGTCACAATGAGTTGGAATCAACAGTGATAGGTATATATAAAATATCTATCACTTATCCTATCTATAGAATCTGTTTAACAAGCTCACTGATAACCCAAAGACTGACAATTCTAGACCACGTAGCGGTGCCTCGGAAGAAAGATTGATGGTTGCAGTTCATAATTATTTCAAAAGAGAAATATAGGATATTCTACTTCAGTATAGATTACAGTCTTGGAAATTGTATAAAAACATTTCACTGCATGCTATAAAGTCACTATGAGTTGAAATCCACCTCAACTGCAATGCATTTTTGGCTCTGTTGTTTTTTTGAGGTATTGTTGTGGTGGTAGTTGCTGTGAAAGAAAGAAAGAGAGACACCTAGAAATAAACTTTCAATAAATCAGACATTGAAAACCTTGTGAAGTACAGTCCTACTTTGATTCATATGGAGTCACCAAGAGTTAGAATCAACTCAACAGTACCTGGTTTGGTTTATGTGTATTCACAGTCTCTATGAGGAGAATATAGGGATTTATAGATTCTACTTTCAATAAACTTTCACTCCATTTTTCCACTTCATACCCTTTCACACTCTTTTAGATGAGTCTGAGAACACAAAGCTGGCATTCAGTGCTGTACACAATGCATGAGACAAAACCAAGGGCATCTATCAAGCACCATGTGCATATTTTTCCGTTTTGCCAGTGCAGCTCATTTCATCGCTATGATAACCTAGTGAAACAGGCACTGCCCTTCTAATTTCACTGATGAAAACACATATTCAAATTGGTGAATAATTCATTCAAAGACAGTCAACAGCTATGTCAGGATTCAACTCCAAGTATCCCAACACCAACTGCAGTACGTAGGTTATGTAGAACTTGGACAGTATGTTACAGAAACAGCTGAGAAGGCTGTATATCAGACAGCTAAGATACTTTCTCCTGTAAAGATTTACAAACTCTGAAAATATGATAATGAATGAAGGTTCCTTAGAGGTAAGGATGATTTTGTCTCACATCCTTTGGGCATGTTGTTAGAAAGGGATAGTCCTTGGGAAAAAATATGATGTTGGAAAATGTATAGAGTCAGTACAAGAGAAGAAGCCCCAAAAAGGAAGACTGACGTGATGACTACAACAATGGACTTCTACACAGCAGAGACTGTGAGGCCATGGGGTCAGGCAAGGGGTGGATCTTTTGCACATAGGTCACTATAAGTCTGAGTCAGCATGACAGAATGTAACAACATCGACAGACTTCATTCAATTCAACTACATGATCCATTAAATATATATTTATAACATCAGAAGAGAAGGATGAGGAAGGAAAGATGCATGACCATTTAGTCCTCCATTCCTTTCTTCTTTCAGGCTCTCATTCAGCTTGTCAGAGTCAAGTGCTAACCAGAACACTCGATGTTAAGTTTACAAATCATAAATATTAATGTAAGTATGCAACTTGAGTGCTCTTTGGAGGCAAGAATTATGAGGCTTTGCCTCACATACTTTGGGCATGTTGCTAGGAGGGGCTGTTCCTGGGAGAATGGCATGATGCTGGGGAGGGTAGAGGGTCAGTGAAGAGAGAAAGACCCTCAAACAGGTGGACTGACAGAGTGACTGCCTCGGTGGGCTCTTGTGTGTCAGGGAGTGTGAGGATAGAACAGGATTCAGATATTTTTGTTCACAGGGTCACTATGAGTTGTACTTGACAGCACCTAACAACAACAACAAAAATCCTTTTAATGACTCTTTTCCTAGAATAAAAGCAAAAGCTATTACAGAATGTTCCTGTGTGAACAATAAATTCTTAAAATTTACATATTCAAAATAATTTCCACAAGAAACTATTATATACTGGCAAATCTGGCATTTATTTTTAACTGTATTTTCTAAAATATTATGTAATACCTTGAATATTGGAAGAGTATCTAGGCCTTCTTTCAATGAAGCAGATACTTCACTGTCCCTGAGTTTTTGATATGTTTCTGTAAAAAAATAAAAATAAATAAATAAACAAACAAACAAGAAGACAGAGAGTAAGAATGCAGGAAGGAAAATAGAAGTAAAGAAGTAAGAAAAAAAGAAAGGAAGGATAAAATAATTAACAGAAGAGAGTGCAACAAAAAAAATGTGATCGGAAAAGCAGAAAGAGAAAAACTGAAATGTAGCAGCAAGTAAGAACAGTTATGCAAATGTATTTATCTTTTTAATTACCAATAACCTTATAAATAAGTCAATGCTGCACAAACTTACTAAATAGCAGCTTGTTTCTTTCATATGATTTTTTCCCTTTACATAACAGACTTTCAAAGCATCACATAAACAACAAAAACCAGAATCTTGATTATGAAAGAGGTAAATATGGTCAACTGGTACACAGATGAGTCTTCCTACGTATTCTAGAAAATCCATTTAAAAGCATTCAGAAAATAAGAACATACAACCGTATTAATTTGGACAAATACCACGGAACAGGAGCTTGATTAAAATAAAAATCCTGCTCAAGATCATCTAAAAATGACTGGAGCAGGACTTTGACAGAGAACTGCCAGAAATGCAAAAGAAGAGACCATGGCACTAGAGACATTATTGACAATGTCATATGAATGTGTCATATGGCTGTGAGAAAAGAGTATCAGAGGAATGTCTATCCGTATTTCATTGACTTTGCAAAGGCATTTTGTGGATCACAACAAACTGTGGCTAATCTTAGGAAAAGAATGGGAATCCTAGTCCCAGGACACTTGATTATGCTTATGAGAAAACTATTCTTGGACCAGGAGGCAGTCCTCAGAACAGAGCAAGGAAACACTGCACGGTTCAAAATCAGGAAAGAACTGCACTGGGGATGCATCTTATCTCCATACCTTTTCAGTCTGTATGAGAAACCAATCATTCGGGAGGCTGGACATTATGAGGAGGAATGTGGCATCAGGATTGGAGGAAGACTCAACAACTTGCCTTTTGAAGATAGCAAAACCACCTTGCTTGTTGAAACTGAGGAAGACCTGAAGTGTTTGCTGCAGAAGGTCAAGGACTGAAGTCTTCAAAAGGGATTGAAGCTCAACATTATGAAGACAGAGATTCTCACCACAGGGTCAACTGGCAGCACCACAATAGATGGAGAAGAAATTGAAGTTGTTAACAGTTTCAGCTTGCTCGGCTCCACAATCTACACTCTTGGCACCAACAGTCAGGAAATCAAAAGATTAATTGCACTGAGGAAGTATGCTGTCAGAGACCTCTCCAAAGTGCTAAAGAGCAATGATGTCAGTCTAGAGACTAAAGTGCACCTGATCCAGGCCAAGAAATTTTGCCTTTAAATTGTGGTACTGGAAAAGAGTATTGAACATACCATGGGCCACCAAGGGAATTAACAAGTCTGTCTTGTAGAGGGTTAAATAAAGTTTCTCCTTGGAGGCAGAGATTTTGAAGCTCCATCTCATAATACTCTGGACATGTGACCATAAAGGATACCATGGATACCATGCATGGAAGGGTGGAGGGACAGTTCAGGAGAAGATGATTCTGGTTGTGATGGATTGACACAGTAACAGAGGTGATGTGGGAGATGTGTCTAAACTACTGAGACTGGCTTAGGATAGAGTATAGATTCTCCAAGTCAGACTTTTTTTCTTGGTGTTTCTTTCTAAATGTGAAATAGAAATCAGTGTGAGTGACCAGCAGCAATGCCAGGCACAAGACACCACAGAAGTGATTTGTGACCTTAGCCATCATATCAAGGGGTGGCTGGGGGAGAGAGGTGCTGAATGGGGTAGGCAGGAGAGCAACTGATGCTGATATAGCAGGGAAACGGAAGGGACAAGACTCATATTTAGGGGGAGGGTACTGCATGGGTGGTTATCTCTGTAAGGGGAAGTGTCTTTCATTTGCTCCTTTTACTAAAGTACTTGTCTGTCAGATGTTGTTCCAAAACTAAGCATCCAAGTTAAGGCATACTAGGAACAAAGACTGGCCATCTACTTCTGAAACATAACAGGCCTTCGAAAGCCCTACATACAATACAGCACAAATAGAGTAGAATAACAGATATGGCAACTGAGGCTGAGTCCTCAAAGTTGGAAACACAAAGGAGGAGGAACAGTTGTAAGTAGAAACTAATGACTGGTATGTGGAATGTGAGAAGCATGCAAATATAAAAACTGGACATCATTAAGAAAAAATGGAATGCCTAAATCTAGACATATTAGGTATTGGCAAAATAAGATGGATTGGCATGGGATGTTTTGAATCAGATGATCAGATGATCTGATGATCTACCATGCTGAAGATGAAAAGGTGAGGGGGAAAAAAATGGGTTCGCTTTCATAGTTAAAAAGGCCATTTCTAGATCAATCTTGAAATACAGTGTTGTGAGTGACAGGATAATATGCATACATGTATAAGGACAACCTGTTAATACCACTATCATACAATCTTTGTGTCTAAGGAACACCAACTGAAGATAACTCAATTTATTCCCACTGACTCATAACTGACTCATAACTTATCCTCCAATGTGTTTTCAGAGCTTGTAAATCACCCAGGAAACTACCCATCTTTCTCCCTTGGAACAACTGGTGGATTCAAACTGCCTGCCTTTGTGTTGGTGGCACAGCTGTCACACCTTATTCACCAAAGCCCAGCTCTGTGGATAAAGAGAACCAAATTAGTGAATTTAGGGGTGGGGGGCGGAGAAACGATGGCTTTACTGCAGAATCCTACCAAAGTCAGACACACTTCATCAGCTGAGTGAAATAAATATTCTATTGACACCATGGACATCCCAGCTCATTCTCTGCCAACAGGTAGAGAGGGTTGAGGGATTAATTCCACACAGGCAGAAGACAAAACATGTTCAGAGCATGAAGTCAGATTTTGAGAAATGGCATCTTCTCAAAAGAAGAAAAATAACAGTGGCAGAAAGAGGCTGAAACAGGGAGAGGAGAAGTGTGGGTGGGAAATGAAGGCAAAAAGAGGAAAACAAGATTGAAAAGGAAAAGAGGATCAGTGGAATAAGAAAAAAAAGAAAGGAGTAGCATTTTTAAGAGGCGGGAATCAATGAACTTGTAAAACATTACACAACATGGGGGAGCCTGGAAGACATTATGCTGAGTGAAATATCTCAATCACAAAAGGACAAATACTGCATAAAATGGCTGTTATAAAATAGGACAGGCATGTGGAAGGTAGGGACAGAATGGGGAAAGAGTGGACGGATAATGAACACTGCATTGTAAGAGATGAGGGGAAGAACTGTCAAAAGGAATATATGATTATGAGTAGGATGACAATTTGGAATAAGAGGTGTACTACAAAGTGGACTGGGGAAGGAGAGAGGGAGAAGGAGGGAGGAAATTGTGTAAGAGTAAATGAATGAAAACCCAACCTTTCTGTAAACTTTCATTAAAATCATAATAAAATAAAGTATACAAAAAGAGGAGGGAATTAGAAGATAACATAAAAAGAAGATGAAAGGTAAAAGGGCATTGATAGTCAACAAATATTGGCCCCATTCCATGTTCAGGAGTGTGTGCATTCCCAGAATAGAACTGTGACCAAAACATGTCCTCTTCTTTCAAGAAGTGTACACTTCACAGGAAAAATAGAAAAGTAGATATGCAAATGGACAAAAGGAAGACTGGGGGGGGGGGAAAGGAGAAAGAGAGTAAAGTGGTGATGAGTAATTGAAAAGGGAAAAATTATTGAACAGGAGAAGACAGTCTAGAGACTAAGGTGCAACTGATCCAGACCATGGTCTTCTCAACTGATTACTATGCACCAAAAAGCTGGACAATGATGCAGAAGGTTAGAAGAATTATTGATGCCTTTGCATTGTGGTGCTGGAGAAGAGTATTGAACAGACCACAGACTGCCAAAAGAACAAATAAGTCAGACCTGGAGAGGGGGAAACTGGGTTGTTTCTTGGAGACAAGGATTTTAAAACTTCATCTCATTCTTTGCGCATGGCGTGGGGAGGAGTGAGTCCTAGGAAAAGGAAATCATGTGTGGAAGGGTGGTGGGTCAGCATAGGAAAAGACCCTAGATGATATGGATTGACACAGTGACTATGGCAATGGGGTCAATTGTGACAGAGACTGTGGGGCTGGCTCAGAATAGGGTAAAGTTTAGAGCTATTGTTTCAGGGTCTCTATAAGTTGAAGGTGACTCAACGACAAATAACAACAACAACAGAAGAAGTGAAAATAATTTTGTCTTCCACTAATTCTTCTGGTATCCTTGGCTAGACCATCTCTTTTAGTTATCTCAGGCTATAAATCATAGATAAAACACAACACTGCAATGCTTAGTCTACAGTAAGAGTAGTTATCTTGTACTATATTCCATTTAGCCTTAAATATTGGCATCTCTATATAGATTACCTTCTGGAGGTGTGGTAGGTTTGAGGACTCCGAGTACACATGGCAGTTTTTTGGGGCCCATGAGGGGGTTGGTAGAGTGGACTTGCCAGATGAATGGGGGTCTGGGACAGGGAGTTTCCCAGCAATTGGGTATGCCGGGCTGCTAACAACAATAAAATCAACAGAGAGAGACAGAGATCAGCTGGCCCAGTGGACAGAAAGCGATGCTACAAAGCCAAAGGTGGGTAACTTTTAATCCGTGGCCCTCAGGCCAGTCTTTCATTGCTTTTGTTCAGACATTCCTCTAGGTCGTATAGCCCTGGTGTACAAGTTGCCATACAGCGGTCAATTGTGGTTGCTGTGAGGCTGAACACTGTGACACTGATGTGTCAAATGTGTTAATGGCTGGTTACCCAATTGGGACAGAGAGTGGGGTGGAGCTCCCAGATTAAAAGAAGCTTGGAAGGAGGAGTGGCATCCACTTCCATAATAGCTTGCCTCCAGAAACCCTATGAACCTGGAGAGAGGAAGAAAGGCAGCCAAGCACTGAGGACTTTCCTCCATAGGGTCGCTATGAGTTGCCTGCGACTCGACGGCACTTAACAACAACAACATATAGACTACCAGTCTAGCTGGACAATGACTAGGGATGATATAAGGGAAATTGATGCCTTTGAGCTGTGGTGTTGGAGAAGAGTATTTAATATACCCTGGGCTGCTAAGAAAATTAACAGGTTTGTCCTGCAGAGGGTGAAGCCAGACAGTTCCTTAGAGGCAAGGATTCTGAATCTTTTTCTGACATACTTTGGACATGTTGCAAGGAAGGACGAGTCCTTGGAGAGAGACGTCATGCTTGGGAAGGTGGAAGGATAGCGCAGGAGAGGAAGACCCTCAATGAGATGGATTGCTTCAGTGATTTGGGTATTGGGGGTAGGTGTGTCAGAGATGGTGAGATTGGCACAGGATAGGGCAGAGCTTAGGGCTGTTGGACACAGGGACACAGGTAACTCAACAGCACATAACAACAACAACAATAATACTTTTCATGCTCAGTATTTTACCTGGATATTTTTTTTGTTTTCTCCTGTGGTTTCCTAAATACTCCAATATTTCACATAAGCGTAGAGTGATCTCCGCAACCACCACAATGTCGATGTCTTCCATTTTACAGCAATGAATTATTTCATTTATTAGCCACAGAAGATAAACCCACTAAACAACAAAAAAATATAAGCAAAATCAATTAATAGTGCCTAACATTGTAGGAAATTCACATTTTTTACCCTTTACTGCTTCTGTAAAGTTATCAGCCTAAGAAAGCAATACCATTTACAATAGTCAACCACAAATCGAGATGCATAGGAATAAACCTAATTAGAGACACAAAAGATCTTTAAAAAGAAAACTATAAAATACTTCTGCAGGAAACAATAAAAGACCTAAATAAATGGGAAAATGTTTGTTCCCTGTTAATGGATGCTGTTGTTATATGCTGTGGACTCGTCTGCAATGCATAGTGATCCTATGTATAGTAGCTCTGAAGCCTGCTATGTCCTGAGCCAGTCTCACTGATTCTAACACACCAACCCCCGTTGCCCCAGTTAATGTATCAATCTACTCCATCTGGGGTCTTCCTCCCCTGTGCTGTAAAAATGTCAATTCTAAACTGTTATCTCCCTCATCTGTTTCAATACGGTATAATTTATCCAATCTTTCTCAGTTTCACCCCAACCCTAATGTCAGTCCCGTTCTACAACAGTGGCACTATGCCGTATTTGTCCTTTTTTTAAATAAGTTTAGTTTTATTAATTTTAATGAACATTTACAGAGATTTTGGATTTCCATTCACTCATTGTTACACTTTTCTCCCTGGCCCCCCATTTGTCCTTTTGTGATTGAGATATTTCACTCAGTATAATGCCCTCCAGGATCACTCATTTTTAATGATATTGTATGAGTTCCTTGTTTTTCAATGCAGCATAGTATTCCATTGTGTGAATATACAACAGTTTCTCTATCCATTCATTTGTTAACGGGCACTTAGGTAGTTTCCAACTCTTTGCTATTGTGAACAAAGCCACAATAAACATGGGTGTGCATCTATCTGCCTGGGTGGCAGTTATGGTTTCTTTAGGGTATATTCCCAGCAGAGGAATTGCTGGGTCAAATGGTATTTCTATTTGCAACTTTTTGAGAAAGTGCCATACTGTCTTCCATAATGGTTGCACCATTTTACACTCCTACCAACAGTGAATAAGGGTTCCAGTTTTTCTACAACCTCACCAGCATTTGTTGTTTGCTGCTCTGTTAAATTTTGCTATTCTTACTGAGGTGAGATGATATCTCATAGTTGTCTTGATTTGCATCTCTCTTACAGCTAGGGATTTCGAACATTTTTTCATGTGCTTATTGGCCATCTGACTGTCTTCTTTGGTGAAGAGTCGAGAATGAAGGTTTCATAATGGAGTATACTCAGAGGGGGAGATTGTATACCAATGAAAGAATTTTTCTATTACTTTTCAAAGAGAAGAGCAAACTGGGGATGAGGGAGGAAGGGTGGGCAGGGAGAAAAGTGCAACAAAGAATGAATGTAAATCCAAAATCTCTGTAAACGTTCAACAAAATTAAATAATTTTTTTTAAAAAAATGACAATTCTATCTAAAGCAATCTACGTGTTTAACACAATCCCAAAACAGATACAAAATTCATTTTTTCAAAGAGATAAAAAAGGCAATTTGTAAAGAAGAAAGACCCTGAATAAGCAAAGCACTTCTGAAAAACAACAACAAAGTGAGAGTCATAGCACTCCCTGATCTCAAAACCTACACTATACAGCTGTAATACCAAAACAGCATGGTAGCACGGTCCTGGTACAATGACAGGCACATAGACCAAAGGAACAGAATCAAGAACCCAGAAACTAACTCATCTATCTACAGTCAACTGATACCTGACAAAGAAACAAAATCTACCAAATGCGGAAACGACAACTTCTTCAACAAATGGTACTGGCAAAACTGGACTGCTGCTTGCAAAAAGCTGAAACAGGATCCACATCTCACCCATACACAAAACCCGACTTAAGATGGATCAGAGATCTAAGAGTAAAGTCTAAAACCATAAAGATCATAAAAGCCAAAGTAGGAGCAAGCTAAGTGTAAGGTATAAAGGGGCAGATAAATACAGTCAGAAATACACAACTAGGAGAGGATAAAATTGATGAATGGGACCTTCTAAGGATTAAATCCCTGTGTGCATCAAAAACAGGGTGAAAAGAAAACCTTCCGATTGGGAAAAAATATTTGGCAATACCATCTGAGAGGATAGGTGTGTCAGAAGCAGTGAGATTGACTCTGAATAGGGCAGGCTTCAGAGCTATTGTGCATAGAGTCACTAGGAGTCACAAGTGACTCAACGACACATAACAACAACAACATCCAAACGGTATAGCCCTGGTCTGTCTATTTGCTGTACAGAGGTAACTCATGGTTGCTGCAATGCTACACACTGTGACAGTGATGTGTCTAATGCATGGTGGATAGTGTGGAGCTCCCCGATTAAAACAAGGTTGGAAGCAGGAGTGGCATCCACTTCCATAATAGCTTGCCTCTGGAAACTCTATGAACTGGGAGAAATGATGTAAGGTATGCAAGTGTTCAGGTCTTTCCTTCATAGAGTTGCTATGAGTCGCCTATGACCCAACAGCACTTAACAACAACTACAACATATATTATGAAGATTATATATACCTACAATGTTCTCTCTCTTCATGTCAGACACTAAGTTAAGTGTCTCAGAAATTCATCTTTATAGCTATATCTCCAAAGCTTATCACATAAAACCATCACACTGTGAGATCTGAGATGATAAAACAGCATTTATCCACCAACATCACCTCGCATATCTGATAAAAATCACCCCAGGAATCCTAAAGCATCTAAAAGTAGGATGCTTCATAAACACAGGAGAATTTCCCCCGAGCCTCTACGTTATGAACCAGTTACCTTATATATTCCCATGAACTTGTTCTGTAAATAGTCTAACTGTATAATTTAATTAAAACTCTGTAACCCCTTATTTGTATCTTCTTTTGTTAAACCACTTCAAAATGTATCAAAGTTCACGTGTCCATATTGTTTGCTGAAGAGTGATTCCCACAAACAACAACCCTATGTGACAAGAGTATCCCTGCTATAGAAGGTTTTCTAGGCTGTAGTCTTTCTAGGGAGCTCTGGTGGCTAATTGGGAAGGAGCTGTACTGTCAACCCAAAAGGAACACAGTTTCATCAGCCGCTCTGTGAGATAAAGATGGACAATCACCTTCTGTGTATAATTTACTGCCTCTGGAAACCTGTTGGAGGGTCAGCTATGAGTCAGTTCTGACTCCATAATACATAACCACAACAAGGAGCTTATTGCCATATCATTCTCCCTTGAAGTGCCTAATGGATTCAAACCATTGACCTTTGGGTTAGTGTTGCACTTTAAATAACTGTGCCATCAGCACAATAAATATCTATTCTCTTAAAGCTTGAAATATCTCACACTCCGCAGTACTACACTTAAGAGTATCTTGTCCTTAATATAAACAGAATAAATGGGTAAATAGGGGAAAAAATAAATTTTAAATTTATGTCACAACTTGGAATTGCAGAAACAAACCCCCAAAAAATGTATGAAAAAGAACACAGAGGAATACCTTGTTAGTATTGATTTTCTGGGTAAGTTTTGAAGACTCATTTTTTGACATATTGAGTCGCTGAATTCCTAATTTGCATCTCTGCCACAGGAACATTATCATATCCACAACTATTTCCTTATCAGGCTGAACATTCTGGAAAGGAAAAAAATTTAATAAGGCAAATTAACAAGAATAGCAAAATACAGATAGAGATGTTATTATTATGTGCCATCAAGTCTAAACCAACTCATAGGTGACCTCCAGCAGATTTCCAGAGGCAGTTCCAGGGTTCAATTGAGCAGAAAATTGTACCTCTTTCTCCTACAGAGCAAATGGTGTATTTGAACCCTATGCCTTTTGGCTTGGAGCAAAATTACCTCCCAAGAGAAACTCAACAGAACCTGACATTGGGTATCAGTCAGTGACCTAGAACAACTATGCTCTTGTGTACCACTGAGTTGGAACCAATCCATTGCTGATCTTCCAGCAGGTTTTCAAAGGCAATAATTGCATGGTAGGAGAATGCCAATCTTAGTCCCGCAGAATGATTATCTCTCTCTTGAATCAGTGTTATCTGACTCTCTTCTAAAGAAAAACAATATTGCTCCCTATATCTGAACTAAAAAACATAATGCTATGCTGCCTGCTGTTGTTCTGTGCTGTCAAGTTGGGATTGACTCAAAGTTGATCCTCCAGCAGGTTTTCAGAGGCAGTAAATCACACAGGAAGAGAATACCCATCCTTTTGCCACAGAGCAGCTGGTGTTTTCGAACTTCCTGCCTTTAGGATTGTAGGGCAGCTTCTTAGGCTACCAGAGCTCCCTAATGCTATGCTAAAAACATAAAAAAAAAATGTTAGCACAGTGCTTGGAGTTTGAGGTTGTTAAACAATTGCCAAGCTTATTCCAGTTCATGACAAGTCAGGTTGTGCAGAGCAGAATTGTTTCATAGGATTGTCAAGGCTGTGACACTTCAGAAGCAGATTGCCAGGCCATCTTCTAAGGCGCCACCACGAAGTCAATGCCAGTTCTTCACTGCTCCCCATCAGGTTTCTGAGACTGTGGTTTTTAATGGCAGAAGAATGTCTCATTTTTTTCTTCCATGGAGCAGCTAGTGGATTCAAACTAATGACTTTGGGGTTAATCTGTGATGCAGTGGATTCCTTGTTCAAAATGGCTTTCTTAGACATGGGTTTTGACTTTCACCACTTAGCTAGGTGGGACAACCCCAATGAGGTGAACAGCACATTTGGTGTTGTTGTTGTTTTTGTTGTTATGTGCTGTCGAGTCGTTTGCGACTCATAGCAACCCTATGTACAACAGCCCTAAACCCTGCTCTATCGTGTACCAATCGCACTGCCTCCGACACACCCATCCAGATTACCCCAGTCACTGAATCAATCCATCTCATAGAGGGTCTTCCCCTCTTGTGCTGTCCCTCCACCCTCCCAAGCATGATGTCCCTCTCCAAGAACCTGTCCCTCCTTGCAACATGCCCAAAGTATGTCAGATGAAGCCCCAGAATCCTTGTCTCCAAGGAGTTGCTTGGTTTAATCCTCTCCAGGATGAATCTGTCTGTCTTCTTGGCAGTCCATGGAACATTCAATACTCATCTCCAGCACCACAGCCCAAAGACATCAATTCTCCTTCTGTCCTCCCTAGTCACTGTCCAACTCTCTGATGCATAACAACTGATTGCAAAGATCATGGCCTATATCAGGTGCACCTTAGTCTCCAGATAGACACCATTGCTTTTGAGTACTTTAGAGAGGTCTCTAACAGCAGACTTTCCCATCGCAATACATTTTTTTTATTTCGTGACTGCTGGTGCCAAGAGTGTTGACCGTGGAGCCGAGCAAACTGAAGCTGTGAACAATCTCAATCTCTTCGCCATCCATCCTGATGCTACTAATTGGTCCAGTGGTGAGAATCTTTGTCTTCTTGACATTGAGCCTCAGTCCATACTGAAGGCTGCAGTCCTTGACCCCCTGCAGCAAGTGCATGAGGTCATCCTCAGTTTCAGCAAGCAGGGTTGTGTCATCTGCATAACACAGATTGTTAATAGATCTTCCACCAATCCTGATGCCACAATTCTCCTCATAGAGCTCAGCCTCTCAGATAATCTGCTCTGCATACAGGTTGAAAAGGTATGGAGACAGGACACATCCCTGGCGTACATCCTTCCCAATTTTGAACCATGCAGTGTTACCCTGCTCTGTTCTGACAACTGCCTCTTGGTCCAAGTATAGGTTTCACATTAGCATGATCAAGTGTTCTGGGATTCCCATTCTTCTCAGAGTCAGCCATAGTTTGTTATGATTCACACAGCCAGACGCCTTTGCATAATCAATGAAATACCGATATACATTCTTCTGGTATTCCCTGCTTTCAGCTAAGATCCATCTAATATCAGGTACAATATCCCTAGTACCATGACCCCTTCTAAACCCAGCCTGGACTTCCGGCAATTCTCTGCTGATGTGCTGTTCTAATCATTTTTGGATAATCTTCAGTAGAATCTTGCTTGCATGTGAAATCAATGATATTGCTCTGTAGTTTCCGCACTCTGTTGGGTCACCCTTCCTTGGAATGGGAACAAATATAGATCTCTTCCAGTCAGTTGGCCAAGTGGTTGCTCTCCAGATTTCTTGTCACAACTTGCTTTGTAGGCTACTAACTCAGTGATTGGTCAGTTTTGCCACCCGGCAAGGCATAAATTGAGCAGCTTCTGATGTAGAAAAAGGAAATCTCATTACTCCCAGAAAAGAAGAATCAGAGAGTGCAGTGAGAAGAGCAAATAGGAAAGATAAGTATACAAGGAAATATGAAAGACACACAACAAGGAGAGAATAATATTGATGAATGAGACCTTAGTCCCTGTGTTCAACAAAAGCTTTTCCCAATAGGGTGAAGAGAAAACCTGATGATTAAGAAAATTCATTTGGCAACAACATCTCCGACAAAGGCCTTAGAATGAAGTTAACAGAATATCACAGGGCCTCCAGATGAAAACAAGACTAACGACCCAATTACAAATTGGGCAAAAGACGTGGAAATATTTTTCACAGAGTAGACATTTAGATGGCTAACAGATACATGAAGAAATGCTCAAATCACAGGCAACAAGAGAGATGCAAATCAAAACCACAATGAGATACCATCTCATCCCAGTAGCAGTGGTCAAGTTTAACAGGACAGTAAGCATTGAGTGTTGGAAAGGATGTGAAGAGATAGTAACTCTCACCCACTGTTGGTGTGATTATGAAATGGTACAACCACTCTGGAAGGCGGTTTGGCATTTCCTCAAAAAGCTGAATGTACATATACATATGTCCCAGCTATTCCACTGCTAGGAACATACTCAGAGGAAAACAGAACTGAGACACAAATGGAGATTTGTACACCGATGTTCAGAGCAGTTTTATTCACCATTGCAAAAACATGGAACCAGCTCAAATGTCCATCAATAACCAAATGGACTGAGAAATTGTGGTACATTCACATGATGGAATACTATTCAGCAATCAGGAGCAATGATTTTGAAAAAATACTATATAGCATGGGAGACTGGAGAGCATTATGCAGAGGGAAGAAACTCAGTCTCATAGACACAATTATTATATAAGATCATTATTGCAAATAGAGAAGAATAACTAGTAAAATGTGTATAAAAGGGAAATGGGGAGGGGAGAGAGGAGTTGAGGAAAGGTGGAGGAGAAATCATTGGTCGCAGAGTTTGATGGGCAAGAGAGGAGTGAAGGAATCAGGAAAGATCCACTGGGGATCTGAAAAGATGGGGTAATAGTAGGCATAGATCAGTAGTGAATAATTTTATAAAACACAATGTATGGGATTAATCATGAAATACAAGGAGAATGAATGAAACACCATGTATATGAACTTTGTATGCAAACCAATTGTTGTTATGTGTCATCTTTATAAAATAAAAAAAAAACAAACAACAATGTAGCAGGGGCCAAAAAGCCTAGCACCACAGCTCTCTCTTTAAGCAACTGCATTAACATAACAAAGAACTGTAGAAGAATTCTGCCCCACTCCCACGGAGTCTACATGAGAGTCTTGCCAAGTTTATCTGAGGGCTTAGGTGTACCCCACTTCCACACCTCTACTCCCCACCCTCCACCACTATCACCCACCCCTACAAAGGTCAGAAGGCTTACATGCATACCTAGGAAGCTGTCCTGACTAAAGAATTGTATCCTGTTTCCAAACTGAATTGTAGCCTATTACCTTTCTAATAAACCCCATGATCCGTACAGGCCATTTCTATAAACAGATCACAACATGAAAAGTCAGAACAGAGCAGAGAAACAGGGAGTATGGTTGAAAATCAGAAAAGGAGTGTGTCAGGCATGTGTTCTGTCCCCTAACCTTTTAATCTGTATGCAGAACAGATTATTCAAGAGGTTGGACTTTATGAGGAAGAAGGTGGCATCAGGATTGGGGGAAGACTCATCAACAAACTGCCTTATGCAGATGACTCAATCTTGCTTGCTGAAACTGAGGAGGACCTAAAGCATTTCCTGCAGAAGGTCAAGGACTGTAGTCTGCAATATGGATTGAAGATCAATATCAAGAAAACAAAGATTCTCACCATTGGGCCAACTGGCACCATCATGGTAGATGGAGAAGAGATTGAGATTCTTAAAAATTTCAGCTTGCTTGTTCCCACAATCAACACTCTTGGCATCGGCAGTCAGGAAATAAAAAGACAAATTGCATTAGGAAAATCTGCTGTCAGGGACCTCTCCAGAGTGCTGAAGAGCACAGATGTCAGTCTAGAGATTAAGGTGTACCTGATCCAGGTATGGTCTTCACAATTACTTGATATGCATCAGAGAGCTGGACAATAAGCAAGGATGACAGAAGAATCGATGCTTTAAAGTTGTGGTGCTGGAGAAGAGTGTTGACTATACCATGGACTCCCAAGAGAACTAGCAGATCTGCTCTGGAGATGGTGAAACCAAGCTGCTCATTGGAGGCAAGGATTTTGAGACTTTGTCTCACATTCTTTGGGCATGTTGCTGCAGGGACCAGTCCTTGAAGAAGGATATCATGCTTGGAAGGGTCAAGGGACGGTGCAGAAGAGGAAGACCCCAGATGAGATGGATTGATTCAGTAACTGGGGTGATGAGGGTAGGTGTGTCAGAGACAGACTGGCTCAGGACAGAGCAAGGTTCAGAATTATAGTGCATAGGGTCACTACAGGTTGTAGTCGACGCAATGGTACATAACAACAACAATAGTGTGCAAAATAACTCCAAAAAACAACCAAACTGAACTTATAAAGTTAAAAACAATATTTAAAACACTTATTCTTTCTTAAATGCACTTCTTCATTTTCTTCACTACTAGAAATAAATCAGTCTAGGAATTTTCATAAAAGGAACAATTTGACATAAAAAGAGAGACAATAAAAGGCGAGGGGAGAGAAGCTTCAAATGAAAGAAAACCAGGATCTAATTTAACCTTTTATTCTAATGATAAAAGATGAGAGAATTTTTGTAAGGTGCCACTTAAGTGATATTGTAAATCTGGTTTTAAATTAGATATATAATAGTGGTAAGAAGCTGAGCTGCAATCCCAAAGGCATGTGGTTCAAATCCACCACTGCTCCACGGGAGAAGGATGAGGACTCTCATCCTGTGCAATTAACTGCCCCTGAAAAACCCCCTGGAGGTTCAGCTATGAGTCAGTTCTAACTCTGTGGCACACAACATCCCACTATAAAAAAATTATTCAATATACAAAAATAACCCAAAAATTATTCAATATAGCTAATTTACCTGGGAAGAGTTGCAGAGACAGGAATATAATGTTGCTGCCAACTGGAAAATATCTTCTGAATATCCAAGAGTTTTCATGCAAAGAGATTTTCATTTAATAAAGTAGAGGGAAATTGATTAAAAAGAAATAGCAAAATTAGTTAAAAATAAATTGCAGAAAAAGCACAGAAACAGAAATTCTACGGAAAAAAATTAAGTCAATAAAATACTTTAATAGTTCTGTATAACAACTAATTTAAGCATGTCTTAATTCAATTAAGAGATTTATTTTTGTTCCTATTATTTTATGATCAGCATATCAATATTGTCTTTAAAAATGTGAAGAGGTTTATAACATAAAAGCAAATATGGCAGTTGAAATAAAATAATAAAAAATATTATTATAAAATTACTAAAAGAAGAAAAAAGAAGTTATCATAACTTGGCATAAGTTATATCCTAAATAGGCCAATACACAATCAATAGCTTAAGAGCATGGCTGAACAAAGCACAGACTCCAGAAATTCCCAGTGGCCAAATAAACAGAGGCCACAGATTTCTACGGAGGAGAAGCATAGATGACATGATTCAGAAAAGCCCAAGCTGTGTTTGCAGTACTGTTGACAAAACGGAGCAAAAATAAATTGATTTTTAAAATGAGTTGTTCTTGTTGTTAGGTACCCTTGAGTCGTAACAGCAACCCTATGAACAATAGACGTGAATCCTGTCCTAGCCTGCATCACCCTCATCATCCATGACACTTTTGAGCCCATTGTCACAGTCATGGTTATCAATCCATTATCACCAAGGGTCTTCCTCTCTTGCTGACCTTCCACCTCTTCAAGTATGATGTCCTTTTCCAAGGAATAGCTTCTCCTAACAATATGTCCAGTGCCCAAAATATGTGAGACAAAGCTTTGCCGTCCTTGCCACTAAAGAGCATTCTGGCTGCACTTATTCCAAGACTTATCTGTTCATACTTTTGGCAGTTTATGGGGTATCCAACACCACATTGATTCTTCTTCTGCCACCTTCATTCATTGTCCAGCTCTCAGATGCATAGTAAGTGATTGGAAAAACCATGGCTTGAATGAGGTGTACCTTAGTCTTTAAATTTATATCACTGCTCTTCAGGACTTTGGAAAGGTTCTTGACAGCAGATTTTCACAATGCTATATGTCTATATGGGAACAGACATAGTTCTCTTACAGTCAGTTGGCCAGTGGCTGTCTTCCAGTGTTCCTGACATAGACGGATGAGCACGTCCAGGAGGAACCAGTGCCTGGGGCCCTTCCTGGTACAGCTCCTCAGGCAGGACCACAGAGGGCTGCCCTGGGCCATGACGTCTGTACACATGATTATTTCTGTGGTTTACTGTTAGAGGTATGACATCTGTCAGTCTGCTGAGCTGGGGGAGGGATTTGCATATTGCTGCTTATTTCACAGGTTAGGTGTATATAGGCCTGTTTGTTAGTGTTCGCTCTTATCAAAATAAAACTTGACTGTCGGTTTCATGCACTGGGAAAACCTGGTGGTTGCTGTGAGCCTGGAAGCTATGCCATCGGTGTTTCAAATGTCAGTAGGATCACTCATGGTGGACGGTTTTAAAATGGATACATGGTTGATTGCAGACAATTTTTACATATTGAAATGAGGTATAATAGAGAATAAAATGGATATCTTTAACCGGGACACTAAGGTATAGAAACAAGTTTTTAAACATATTTCTACTACATATAAGTAGGATTAAAACAAAAAAATCATGTTGGTTGCCATAGATTTCAGAGTACAACTCTAGCAATCTCATACATTTCAGAGTAAAACTACATTCGATAGGATTTTCACAGCTCTGATCTTCTGGAAGTAGGTCACCAGGCGTCCTTCCAAGGCATCTTGAAGAGATGCAAAAGGCCACATTCTGTGTCAGCAGCAGAGCACTTAATTATGCCAGAGTCTGACCATTAGCAAGATTAGTATTTAATATTCTGTCATGATCAGTAAAAGCATAGATTAACCTTAATTCGAAAAAGATAAATCATTATTTACATTCATTTGCAATACTATATAGGATAATTTAAATAAAAAACAAAACACCAAAAACTAACAACTTTAAAAATCCTAAAAAGGAAGGCCCTGCCTGCTAGAAAGATAGAGATCATTCTACACTCCCCCAGGCCACTGACTGGTAGATTTTCATTTGACTGCCCAAACATTGTTGTTGTTGTTATGTGCTGTTGAGTCACATGTGACTCATAGCGACCCTATGTACAACTCTGAACCCTGCTCTATCCTGAGCCAACCTTGTTGTCTCTGACTCACCTACCCCTATTTCCGCAGTCACTGAATCAATCCATCTCATCCACGGTCTAACGATCTTATCATGTCCCTCTCCAAGGACTGGTCCCTCCTTGCAATATGTCCAAAGTATGTCAATCTGAGCTTCTTACCTCCAAGGAGCATCCTGGTTTTACTCTCTCCAGGATGAATCTGTTTGTTCTTCTAGCCATCCATGGTGTATTCCATACTCTTCCCCAGCACCACAGCTCAAAGATCTCAATTCTCCTTCTATCATCTCTAGTCATTGCCCAGCTTTCTGATGCATAGCAAATAATTGCACCCTACTGGCTTCTCATGTATCCCAACAAACCAGCAGTCATTCCTCAACTCAAAATGTTCACTGAGAATAAAATTGAGGATTGCCGCAAGGCCCAAGAATCTTTGTAATCTCGTGTGCAGCTACTTCTCTGGCCTCAGCTCCTATAGCTCTCCCACACACCACCAGCAGCAGCAGTGCATTCCAGCTGTGAAAGTCTTCTTGCTATCTCTTCAGTTGCCCAGAGCACTCTTCTCTAAAGGCCTCTACACGTCCTAGTCTCTCAGCCTTGAAAGGTCTTTCCCTCACCTGACCTAACAAGCAGCATACTGGGTCAGATAAAACCCATTGCATTTTTCAAAAAGGAAAACATATACGCACTGTGAATAGGGACTTTTCTTGTAAATGCTTGAATACAATCTCCCTCTTTGAAGCTTTCCAAAGGGAAGACCAAACCTTTGCTTTTCTTCACATTTATTAGAGGTTCTATTGCAAGAAGAAGCGTTAAATCCATCTCTGCTTGCTTTGCTTCTGGATGATCTTGCTTCTAAAAGAAGTAATTACATGCCACAATTAATTAGAAATCCAAAGCCATCTTACTAAAGGGATGGAAAATTAATGGCTTCGCAGATATTACCTGGAGATAGCAGAGAAATTGTGAGGCAGCTGATTCAAATAAACTCCATTCTTCATAGTTAAAAGCTAACTTTATAAATCTCACAGCAGCATCTAGAGAAATGTTATTTTTTCTTTCTATAATACATTCCATCAAAGATGTTTGTGAAAATCCAAGCATTCCATGTGTGTCAGTATTTAAAGCTAGAAAAGAAATAAAGAGGTTTGAGAATCTAGGCAGAGAAGTCAATATTCGCTGTCAAAGTAGGCCAGGCCCCAAGGAAACAATGGAAAAGAATTTGGACACAATCTCTGGCTTCATGGAGCTTGCACTCTAGTGCGGGAGATGAAAAGCATAGTGAGAAAGGGCTGGATGACATGAAAGCAGGAAATAAGGAAGTCCCTGAATGCCAGCCTGGGGCTGAAGGGTGTTCAGGATGGCTACTTAAAAGAGAATGGATTCAATGGCATAGTGAATTAGCAGGATAGTCTACAGTTTCTTGGTATATATAATTGCTAATATATGAATGTTTTTATATTCCCTGAAGTTGGATCCAACCGTAGTTCCCACCACTAAACCACCAGAGCTCCTGATATATATATATATAAAGTATTTTTTAATTGACAGAGGAAAAGGAACTCAAGAAGGACAAGTATAGCTCCATCATTCCAGTTATTCCAGATACTGAGACATATCTCACTATCAAGGAGTTGCACTGCCAACCCAAAGGCAAGTGGTTTGAGTCCACTAGCTGCTCTATGAAAAGATGGGCAATCTCCTGCCATATGATTTACAGCCTCTGAAAACCCACTGGAGGGTCAGCTATGAGTGGGGTCCAACTTGATGACAATGAACAACAATTAACAGATATAAACAATTGCATTGATGATTATTGGTGGTTGAAATGTGAAAGTTCAAAACAAAACAAACAAGATAGATTAGTAATCAGAAAATATGGTCTTGGAAATATAAATTTTACCATGTTGTTGTCGTTGTTATGTACTAACAGGTCAAGTACGATCCATAACAAACCTATGAACAACAGACCTGAACTCTGTCCTATCCTGTGCTATCGTCATCATGTCATCAAATCCATTGCTGCCTTCACTGTGCCAATTCATCTCATTGTGGACCTTCCTCCCTTTCACTGATCCTCCAACTTTCCAAGTACAATTTCCTTTTCCAAGAAATAATCCCTCCTAATAACATGTCCAACGAATGTGGGACAAGGTTTCACCATCTGTTTGCCTCTCAGGAGCTAATGGAGGATTTGGAGCACTTTCTCCAAGACATTCTCTTTGAAGTCCATAGAATATTCAGTATCCTTCTCCAACACTGCAACTCAAAGGAATCAATTCTTCTTTGGCCATCCTTAGTCACTGTCCAGCTTTCAGAAGCATAACAAGTGACTGAAAAGACTGTGGCCTGCATCAGGCAAACCTTAGTCTTTAAACTGACATCATTGTTCCTCAGTACTTTGAAGAGGTCCCTGACAATAGACTCTCTAATTGCAGCATGTCTTTTGATTTCTTGACTGCTAGTACCAAGGGCATTGTATGTGAATCCCAGTAAGAGGAAATCATTGGTAATTTCAGTCTCTTCCCTATCTATCATGATATTAGAGAGCACTGAGAAGCCGTGCTTCAATTGAAAAGATATGTGCTTCGACTCCACCATCTGCTCAGAAGTAGAGAGAGGGAAATCTCCTCTGGAGCCATTTACTGGCTCTAAAAAGCCACTGGAAGGTCGCTACGGGTCAGTTCCAGGACACAACAACTTCATGATGCTGCTTATTATTGGCCCAGTGGTAATGATTTTCATTTTCTTCATGCTGATACATATATTAAAGGTTGTAGTCTTTGATCTTCTGCAGCAAACCCTCAAGTCCTCCTTACTTTCAGCAAGTAAGGTGTGTCATTTGCATAATAACAGATTGTTGAAGAGTCTTTGTCCTATCCTGATTGAGTCCAGTTTCTTTAGTTGCTTAGCATATATATTGAATAGGTATGGAGAAAGAATACACCTCTAACACACTCCTTTCCTGATTTTGAACCATGCAGTGTTCCCTCGCTCAGTCTGACAACAGCTTCTTGGGTCAGGTAATGGCTCAAATGAGCAAAATTAAATGTCCTGGGATCATCACTCTTCTCAATGTTAATCACAGTTCATTAAGATTCACACAATCAAATGCCTTTGCATAGTCAATAAAACATAAATGGACATTCTTCTCGTATTCTCTGCTTTCAGCTAATATCTATTTGACACCAGCAGTTATATTTCTGGTCCAACAACCTCTTCTAAACCCATCCCGAACTTCTGGCACGTCTCTGTCAATGTTCCGTTCTAGCCATTTTTGGATGATCTTCAGCAAGAATTTGCTTGCATGTAATGATATTACTCAATAATCTCCACATCCTTTTTGGGAATGTGAACAAATGGATTTCTGCCAGTCAGTTAGCCAGGCTGCTGTATTCCAATTTCCTGGCACAGACTGGTGAGCATGTCCATGGTTGTGTCCAAGTCCAAGGGTACTGTCTGCAAGGTCCAAGAGTATAGTCCCTGTGAGTGTTGTTGCAAAAAGGTGTTTGCAATGAATATGCTGTTCTTTTAAAATTCAAAAATTTATGATAATAAACAACAATGGATTTCTTATAATAAAATTATGAAAGAACAACCAGCTGTGCATTATAAACACTTTCTGAAACAACACACACAGGGGACCTTATTTACTGTATCCTTGGACGTCATCAGGTGGGATATACAGGAGTCAAATCAACTACATCTGTAGAAAGAGTTTCCATCCTCACTTCTAATGAGGATCCTGGCTCTACTGCTTTCAAGCCAAATTTATCCTCCTGGCCCTATAATGCAAAGGGATCAATTCATTTCCAGTTTTCTTTATTGTCTAGTATTCTTATGCATATGAGCCAAATGGACATTACCATGGCTTGGGCAAGATACACTTTGTTCTTCAAAGAGACATCTTTATTTGGAACATTTTAAAGAGGTATAGTACAGCAGCCTTGCCCGACACAGAAACTTGACTGATTTCTTGACTTCTATGGGCACTGACTGTGGAGTCAAGTAAAATGAAATTTCCTTACTAGTCTGGTTGTAAGAAATTTTGTTTTATGTTCAAGTACAATCCATACTGAAAGGAATACTCTTTGATCATTATCAGTAAGTCATCTCTTTCAGCAAGCAATGTGTGTCATTTGACTATTTCAGGCTATTATATAGCCTATAATATATATAGACTATTATATTGAATGAGACTACTATAGGCTATT